TAGATAGATAGATAGATAGATAGATAGATAGATAGATAGATAGATAGATAGATAGATAGATAGATAGATAGATAGATAGATAGATAGATAGATAAACGTAAGAGTTAAATAAATTCTAACCTCTCCTCAGTCCTCTGAGCTGCGTGGAGCTGTCCGGACAGTTCCATCTGTCCCAGGCGAACTGATGTTTGCACTCTGCAATCCCCCTCTGCGTCCCAACCTGCACGCTGCTTGCATAGGTGAGATAAGCCTGGACGAAAGTTTTTTTTAATCATCATTATTATTATAGGTGCTGTAATGAGGTACTGTCACTTTAAATTGGTACTAAACTAATTGTAGCAAARTTTCGTTACCTTCGGTCCTGTCATCAGAAAGTTACTGGCCACCCTGAGAGAAATTAATATAAAAATATTTTGAATTTGTTTTGTTTTTAGTCAAAATAAAACAGTCACAAAAAYAGATCTTACCAGGCGTGTCCTGTGTTAAACAGCAGAAGCAGGAACCAGAACACGGAGCGCGTCATTTTTTATTTTTATTTTTTTGTAAAGTCTGCGGCCTTGGAGCGTCTTGGTTCCGGTGTGTGCTGACACGTCCCTCCTTTATGAGCGCAAGGAACAAATGGAGCTTCTTGTTCTTTTGTTCCTGAAGCCCAGATTGGGTGACTGGGTCAAGAAACGCCTTGTATGCGCACTTCAAAAGAACGCAGCTCTGCGCACCCCGCGGTTGCGGATTCACGACCCGCAGGGCACCAATATACAAATGATGGGATCAACAGAGTGATGTAGGAAAATATTTATTTTTTATCACTCAAAATAAAAGTCCTTGTTCWGTTGTTGGAAAATCCAAGCGAGCAAAGATTTCCAAATTGGATTGAAGAAAAACACAGCTTTGCTTAAATAGTCCAGCTTTAAAGGTAAAAAAAAAAGTGCAATAAAAAAGTCCAGGCAGTTTAGAACTCAGCATTCTATCAGCTTGTGTAGTCTTTATTAATTAGGTCCTTAATCAGTCCTGACGCACCAGCTGTTTCCGCCTGGTCTGATTCTGCAGCTTATCCCATCCTTCTTTGCGCGCGCAGTAATATTTAGTGACAAACTGTGTGCACTTGTCACATTTGACCGTGCAGCACCAGATAAACTTGCAGTTGCAGCTGCTGACGACCTCGGTGCGCCTCTTCTCCACTCTCAGGCCGCACTGGTGGCACAGCCTGCGGCAGCTCCTGTCCTCCCGCTGCGTCGCGTTCCTCCTGCCGCCCCTCAGACACTCCCGCCCCTCCGTGCCCTGCACCCCCAGGCTCTGGTTCTTCACGCAGTAGTTCGGAGAGTCCTCCAGGTAAACGAGCTCAGTTCGAGCGACGCCCCGGAAAGCAAGCGTCGCGGCCCCTCGGCTGTCCGCGCTGTTCCCGGACCTCGCCGGCTTCTTGTCCAGCTCCAGCTTCCTGGCGCGTTCGTGCTTCGTCTTCAGGTGGTTGCCCACCTCTCTGAAGTTGGGTAGATGCATCCAGCAGGTCTGGATGGTGCAGCTCCCCGACACTCCGTGACATTTACAGGYTTTTCTCATGGTGGCTTTGACTGCCTGTTAATAAAATCACAGTTTTTTTTCCTTCAATAAATGTGCGCGTCATGCGTAAAAGTTGTTTTGCGCTCAAAATACCAAAAAAAGTAAAAACGTAATTATCAAATCATCCTAAACAAATAATGACTCCACTCATTTGACTCTCACCCGTCTGCCTGCCTCGTTGTTGTGGAGGTTGACCGCTGCGCGTGCGTCACGTCCATTTTCCAGCGCGTCCACGAAGTGTCTGGAAATGGTTTCTCCAAACGCAACATTGTCACTGCATCCTCCCCAAACCCACCCTCTTCCACCTGTGATTAGAAGAATTGGAAACAGCTTTTAGTGTCCCGAAACGGGGAAATCCAGGTGTAACAGCAACAACAGATATAATAAT